ATGATGTAAAATATTAAATGATACAAGCCTTTAGGAATGAAAATTCAAAAACTCAGTCATTCTTTCTTTTGACGTTTTTGAAGTTCCTGAAGCCATTTTGAAAAATCATAATCTTATACTGATTGTTGGTTTATTACATTTTATAACATTTTAACAGCTTAAAGGAATTTTATATATTTGATTATTAATTTATTGAGCCATTCTTTTATTCAGTGAATGTTCATTGAATATCTTTTATATTCTAGATATTAGTGAAGCATGATGTTGAGCATATGAGGATTCAATTGAAATACAGTACTATGACCAGTATACTAAGAATAGGCATGGGGGCTAAGGTAGAACAAGGAACTCATAAACCAACAGAAATTTGGTCAAGGAAGCCTTTATGGAGTCAGTGACCAACAGGCCATTTAAATGGGAATAAGGTGAGAAGGGAAGTGTAGAATTCTAGGCAAAAACAAAACAAAACAAAAAGATAGGGTATATGTTGCTTGCTTGACAGATTTAAGAAAATGCCTGTAGGTTCTCCAGTTTTATAGATAAAGAGTATCTTGAGATACTTAATGGTTTTAGCATGGTCAAATGGCAGATTTCAAGCTGGAGACTTAGTTTGCTAGATTTCCAGTGGAAATTTCTCTCCACTATTCTTTTATCAGTGTATACACATGATTATTGAGCATGAAAATAAGTTAAATACCCTGTAAATATATGTGCTGTTTTTAAAAATAATAATCATTATTGGCCACCTAAAATTAACCTGAAAGCATTACTGTCCGAAGCCAATTTGAATGCTCTAAGAATTAAACAATATATGGCATAAAAATCAATGTTTTTTTTTTTCAATTCACAATATCAATATAGATCAGAAAACAAGTTGGCTAAGATAATACATTTATTATATATCTTATTTCCATAGTCATTATTAACTAAATCCACAGGTAGGTGTGCTTTAGATCTTGAAATCCTAAAGCATATGAAACGTTTTGCATTTTTAATTCTTGGAAAATATTACTTATCTATCTAGATGTTTTGTTTTTGCATTTTTTAGAATACCAAATTTTCCCTATTGACACCAAATAGTCATAATTTTAAGGTAAAGTTTTTAATTACAGACTCTGTATTTGTTGTAAATTTTATTAGTTATATAATAATATTGAATATTTTTACTCATTTAATTACTGTTAGTCATTATTTGTACCTAAAGCTCAACACTAATTTATTATTTTTGCTAACGTGTATTTTTTTCTAGTTTTCTTAGGAGAGTATTTTGCCAAACATAGTCATTATCTATTGTAATGTGAATCTATTTTTTTGTTCACATTGATAATAAGATGCGAAAGGTGAATCTTTCCCTTCTGAGGAAAAGCTAACCTTTCCAACAGAAACACATTTGGTTCAGTTTATATATAGTTTTTAGCACCTGTCTAGTTGCTTTGAAGCTTTTAAGTCATACAGTTCATATTGTGTTATTTAAATTGTTCACAAACGATTTCTTTTATCTGAGTACAAAAAGGGAAATTGGGCAAAAATGGAAACCTATCATCTTTTGTGCAGATGAACTTCCTGGACATGGTGTTATTTTGGTGTCATAGGGTTGCCATCTAGTGGCTCCAATGGGTACTTGTTTGTTAATTTTACAGTATTGATTAAAACAATCAGAACTTTAGAACAAAGTTCTAAATTGGGACGAATAAATCAGTAAAATTGATGTGTAGTAATATAAAGATTATAGTCCAATAGAAATTATTTTAAGAAATTATATTATACAAATATTAAAAACTTAAGAAATAGGAAACTCTTGTGATTTTTAAGGACTCTGCTCTTAATACAAATTGTGGATTAAAGATTCAGCCTGCCCACACTAGAAAAATAAATAATGTTTAAAATAAATTTATATTATGTCCTTTGTATTTTATATGGGATGTTATAACTCAGCTATAATAAATAAAAATACTCTGGCATTTTAATAGTGAGTTAAGTCTCTTAAGCAACTTGTTTTGTTTATAAAAAAAAGTTGATTTTCAAGTTCTATTAATTCATTTTAATTCTCTCTCTTATCCATGCTCAAGCAGTACAGACTGAATCACAGTTCATGATTCATGTTCCTAATCACTGAATGAATTTTGTTTTAAAATACTCTTTCTGCATTTATAGCTTTATGATTTCTGGTAGCCTTAATTGTCTTTGATAGAAATTATGTACTATTCTGTTGCCAAGAACATGATATACTGAAATAAGTGTTCTGATATAAATTTTCTCTAACAAATTATATTTTATGTCCAAATTTTTCAGTTTTTGTAATTTTTATTATCATACATTTCACTAGCATGTGTTGCATATAAGGGATGAATTCAACAAATGGATCTTTCTTTTTCAATTTGTTTTCTTGAAAATTTTCAAATAAGAAGAAAAGTTGAGGAGTCAAATGAACACTTGCTGACATTTACCTTGCTGATGTTCTGCCACATTTGCTTTTCCCTCTTTAGCTGATACAGAATTACAGTTTAGAAGTGGATTCTCTTGTGTGAAACCTAGATTTTATTTATGGATTACTATATAGTTTTTATACATCCATAGTGGAATTCACTTCCTTTGTTCATAGGTTCACTTTTGTTTACCTTATGTAGTTTGTGAACATCCAAACTGAATTTCATAAACAGAAAAATGACTTATTTAGAACTGCTCATCTTTTCTAAGTGAAAAAAATAGCTGATTATAGTAATACCTCATAGCTTTTTAAAAATTTAATAGTTAACTCAAGTTGAAAATAAATTTCCTTACAATTGGCCTCATATATAACACAGTTGGTTACTTTCCCAAACTTTAAGTATACATGTTTTAGTCAGATTTTTTGCTGCTACAACCAAAAGACCTGACAGGAACAAATAGAAAAGTTTATTTTGGGGCTCAGGGTTTCTGAGGTCTATTATTTTCTGAGTAAATAACAGAAATTTACTGTTATTCATTTAATAAAATCAGATGGCTGATTTCATTGCTGCAGGACCAAGGTAAGGCAGAACATCATGGTGGAAAAGTGTGGAGGGGGAAAGCAGCTGAAGACATAGAACCAGGAATCAGAGAAACAGATAATAACTCTCTTCGCCATGATAAAATACAAAACCCAAAGGCACACCACCTGTGATCCACCTTCTCCAGCCATAAGCCATACCCTACCTACCTACAGTTACTACCCAATTAATCCCTATCAATGAATTAATCTGCTGATTAGCTTAAGCTTCTCATAAGACAATCATTTCACCTCTAAACTTTCTTGCCTTATCTCACACATGAACTTTTGGGCAATACCTTGTGTCTAAACCATAAAAATACAAATATATTGAATATATTGAATTTTTAAAAAATCTTAAGGGCTTTACTTTAGGGGATAGAATCTTCATAAAATTTAAGACAAATTTTTTAAAAATTCAATAAATAAATTTTATAACTAAGAAACTCAAGTTCTCTAAAATTTGGTTTATTGATTTGGTCAAAATTCCATGACTATAATGTTAATAATCTTAATTCTAAAATTGATTACATAGTTTGATATATTAAATTGGAAGTACAATTGATTTGAATTCTTTTAAACTTCAAACACCTTAAATAGCATGTGTATGCGTATGTACCATTCCAAATTTTCAGAATTCATAAAAGCATCCATATTGGATTACATAGTCATATTGTATTTGTTTTTAACTCTTACCAGAGTTCTATGATGCTCATTAAGAAAATAATATTACCACCCTAAATTAAGGTTGTTGTTTCCAATCATATAATGTTATCATTTGCTTACTGGCCAGAGCTTTTTGCCTAGGACAGGACACCTTAACTGGGTATACCAGGACAGTTTTCCTGGTACCACTTCTGGCCACACTGATTATCTTTTGAAGCCATGCAGAAGAAAAGGGATTCCAAATTCCTATACTTGAGAGGTGGTTATATTTTGGGGATTTAGGTTACATTCTTATTTATTTGTTTAAAATGTTTTTTTGTTCTCTTAATCTAATTTTAATCCCTATATTTCTGCTTCAAAAGACATTTCTGGAGCTCCTGAATACATCTGTGTAATTCCTCAACTTTATTTTAAAGCTATGACTTAGGCCATATGTTGCAGCTAACATCTTACAGTCATTCTCTTATTGGCTTGATTAAATCCTGAGATTTTTCTTATATCCTTCCTATCTGACTCAAACATATACTTATGAATTAAATAGTTATTGGATTAGATACAGCTTTGACAGATTTTATAGTTACCACAATAAAATTATGATAATTATAGCCCTTCCTTCCTTCCTTCCTTCCTTCCTTCCTTCCTTTCTTTCTTTCTTTCTTTTTCGTACTAGGGATTGAAATCACATGCTTAAAAGCACCACTGGGCCACATCTTCAGCCTTTAATTTTTTTTTTTCTCACTAATTTGCTTAGGGCCTTGTTAAATTGCTGAGGCTGGCTTTAAACATCCTCCTGACTCAGCCTCCCAAGCTACTAGGATTACTCATGTGAGCTACCACATCTGGCTAGCAATTTCCTGATAAAAGAAGAATTTGACTAAACTAACATATAATACTTGAAAAAATAATAATAACAATGACCTGATATATGAAGGTTAAAATACATTTAGTAAAAGAAGATAAAACCATATTACTTACCAAAATTTGCCATATTATTTACCAAGTATTTTCCAGTAACTGTCCCAAGGTTTAGCTCTTAACAATTCTGTCGAGTACGGCTCATTTTCTTATTCACAGAAGAAGAAAACTAGGCACAGAGAGTTTAAGCAACCTGTTCTAGTTCACACAGGTAGTAAGTGGCAGAGTCAGGATTCAAACCCTGGCAGTTTGAGTATACCTTCCATGTCCTAAACAACAATAGCATTAATATCATAAGGTTGAATATGTTTTGGGAACCAGATGTGTTTAATGTTAATTGTGGTTGATACTTTGTCTTCAGATAGAGAGACAAATAAATACTTACTTATTTGTAATTGACATGTCCACATAGGTAGTGAACTATTTGCTGGACTCTACAGTGACTATTGGGGCAGAGATGCTGCCATCTTCCGGAGCATGGGGCGACTTGCCCATATTCGCACTGAGCATGACGATGAGCGTCTATTGAAAGGTAGGATTGAGTCAGAATACAGAGGAAATTAGAATTGAATACAAGCCTAGATTTCATGGATAATTTTGCCACTTTGATAATTACAATATAAATATAGCTTAGAGTTTTTACAGATTTGAGAATGTTTTTGTTGGCAAAATCCTTGAGGTAAAATCTATATGGTATGTGTTCATCATTTCATATGGATTGGTTTAATTATAAAATCAATTTACCTTCCTAGCAATGCTTAGAAATCAAAATTTAAATGAATAAAACAAAGCGAATATATGAAAAGTGAAAAATTCATCATACAATAGGGTTTTTCTGTTCTTATCAATTGGTATAATTTCTAATGACTTGATTGCTTTGTTTTTCTTGTCTTAATAGGATCACATGGCACCTTAGATATAAAACTTTAGAAAGGTCACTACCCATTTACTGATAGAATTCTTTGTAAGGAATATTATTTATAATTTTTTTTATGCTGGTATGTCTAGGAGCTCATTTTATGGTGAACATTTTCATTTTCAGCATTTTTGTGAAGCTTAAAAATACATGGTAACTCTAAGTAGCATATTATCATCATTATCAATTTAAAAATGTTTGTTGACTTGCAAATAAAATAGAGATAGCTATCCCTTTTAAAAATTGTTTGGTTAAAATTTTCAAGGAATATGTATTTTTTAATAAAATGATGAGAGTTAAAGTTAAGCTTTCAGTTGACACGTAATTTATTAGGATAACCTCATTTTGTTATTATATCTCTTTCATTTTTCTTTCACATTTTACTCCTATAGAACCAAAATTTGTAGGTGCATATATGATTCCTGACAATGAAGACCGAGATGACAACAAAGTGTATTTCTTTTTTACTGAGAAGGCCCTGGAGGAAGAAAGCAATGCCCACTCGATATACACCAGAGTGGGGCGACTTTGCGTGGTGAGGATGGTGTTTCTAACTCATTAAAATTGCTTATCTCACAATCTATGGCCATGCATTTGTTACAAATTTTATAGTAGGTTTCTGCTTTAAATATTTAGTATTCTATAGGCATCCAAAATTGGCATTTAATAAAACAAGATTTATAATTCATGTTTTAGTCAGAGTTTTCACTGCTTTGACTATTCCTTGGGGCTTGAGGTGAGGCAGAAATACATGGCCAAAGAGTATGGCAGAGGAAGTGGCTCACATTATGTTCAGAAAGCAGAGAAAGAAACCTACTTGCCAGACACCAAATATATACCTTAAAGGCACACCCCCAAGGACCCACCTCCTCCACCCACACCCTTCCATTGCCAATTAATCCCATCAGGGGACTCATTCACTGATTGGACTAATTGTAACCCAATCATTTCTCCTCTAAACCTTGCATTGTCTCACACATGAACTTTGGGAGAGACCTCACATCCAACCATAACACTTCACATCTATAAAAACTTCATATCTAGTGCAGGTTTTATCTGCATTTTTTAATCTGCATTTTGTATGATTTTTCTCATTTTCAAAGCTATTACTATAAACAGTCTATAGTTAGTTTTAGAGTTACAGTTAAGTTATAGTTATAATAAGTAGTCTATAGTTAGTCTGTATTTCTTCCTAAAAAGAAGTTTGAGGGTTTTTTTAATGAAATACATTAATAAACCAAATTAAATAAACCAAAATCTTTTTGTTTCTTTAGTCCACAATCTAAATAATATACACAACTGTGTTTGAATAATTCAAGTTGGTTGACTTTATAGAAAAAAAATCTGTAGTTTGAGTATTCAGTCAGGTTTGGAATAGTCAAACAAATTGAAGTAGCAACATGTACTTAGAGACTGCTAATAATATTACAAATGTAAAGTAAATCTGTCAGTTAAGAATCAATTTAAGTGTAGATTTAAGAGGGCTTGGGATGTGGCTCAGTGGTAGAGTGCTTGCCTGCCATTTGTGAGGACCTGGGTTCAATCCTTAGCACTACAAAAGAGGACAAAGAAAAAATTTAAAGAACTTGTATGCATACATACATATGTAAGTTATGTCTCTCTGTGTGTGTGTATAGATTATTTATCAACAAAATAAAGGTTACAGTGTCATAAAGCCCACTCCTTCATTTAAAAGAGACTACTATGTTAACATTGTTTAATACCTAGAAAGCAGACTGAATACTTCAGAGTGATAATACACTGACAAGTCAGAATGTGAAAAACAAAACAAAACAAAAACTATAGGAATATATGTTAGTATTCATTTGAGGCTTATGCTAAATTTTCTTAAATAGGAAAAAAAAAAAGCTATAACTCTTGACATCTGCACATTGACTAATACTAAATCTGTTGTTGGTAAAAGCTCTTTATGTGCCCATTTACCTGTTTTCTTTTTCACAGAATGATGTGGGAGGGCAGAGAATACTAGTGAATAAATGGAGCACGTTCCTCAAAGCAAGACTGGTTTGTTCAGTACCCGGAATGAATGGAATTGATACATATTTTGATGAATTAGGTAAGTATTATTTTGAGAATTAAATTTTACTCTTTGATGTGTAGCTCTCATTATGTCTGGTACATGTGGAAAACTTGTTTCCTGCAAAATTTGACTAGAGCACCAACCTAGAGCATGTTTCTATTCTTTTCATTTTAACCAGGTGCCTGGTGATAGCAGAGGAGTTGCAGGAAAAAAAGGAGATCCATCTCATTAGTTTAGAGTCAGTGCCTCTGGTTCCGTCTGTGTGGGTTAGCTAAAAACCCAGAACACTGAAAGGATTCACCCTGTTATGTTTTGGTCACAGTTGTCTGGGTGTATTTGGAAATTTATGTCTTTAAATCTATAATAAGTTCTAAACTATTTCATGTGAATATGTTTTCTCTTCATGTAAAGAGGGCTAAAAACTTCAATTGATAGATGGGTCTTTAATTTTTCAGAGGATGTTTTTTTGCTGCCTACCAGAGATCATAAGAACCCAGTGATATTTGGACTGTTTAACACTACCAGGTGAGAGATTTATACAGTCAATATAAAAATGTAAGCAAGAATTGTCTCTCTAGACTCTCCTTTCATGGTTTATATAACTTGGAAATACTATTGACCCAGTCATCATTCTTGTTTTCTGTACTTTAAATCACCAACTTCTCCTTGTTCACCCACGATTGCAGCTCATTTTCAAAGCCACAATCTCAGTCCAGATTCTTGTTTTTGTATGCGGTATCCTAGCATCCTCATGTGCTTTAATATCCTGACCTCTTCCCTCTCTAATCTACAAAAAAAAGGACAACTTTTTTTCTCATGTAATTTGTCAGATATTGATTTAATGTTTCAGAGACCAGGATAATTCTTTTGTCTTATCAAATTGAACCTTCTAAGCCAGAGTTTTATTGTTCTTTAATAACGGTTACCCACCCATCTTTGAAAGATTCCCCACCCCTGCCGTGAGCCCTCCACTGACAAGATAATATGTTGACAGATTCTAGTGCTTATATTGCCAAATACCATCACAGTATTTTTATTTGTTCACTTATTTTGCTTGAAATGACTTTGTCTTCCAACATTGGTTTGTGTCAGTTCTCAACACATATCAATTGTCATGTCCAGGAAATAGCCCTTGGTTCCTTAGTCACTAAGCAATCTTCCTGCCCATTTGTTCTGGCCATCTTCCTCCAATGTATATTCACAGTCAACACCTTTATGATCTGCTCTCCTTCTTTCAAATATGCTATTCAATTTAGTGCTGATAATCTGTTATTTTTCCTTTACATTCTTATATATTTGTATAAGAATATAAAGGAAAAATAACAGATTATCAGTGAAATAATAGTTCATTCATGGATGAAAAAGTATGACTAAAATATGTTTTGGTTGAAAGTTTATGTACACAATTTCCTCAGTATCTTTCCAAATAAGGCAGAGAATGGATAAAATGATTTGAGTGAGAAATAAAGAATATATCTCACTCTCTCAGCAGAGATGCAATGATCTTACTCAGTTTCTCATTTGCATTGTATTGGCCATAAACTGTCCATGACCCTGTATACTGTACTTTACTTAGAGACTTTCCACACAGCCTTTTTGAGTTTTTCAGCAGGTGATTTCAAATGCTCACTTTGGAAAAAATATAAGCTCCTTGAACAAGTATGGTGCTGTTGTAAAGAGACCTTTTTCTGCAACAGGGTAACATGGAAATAACATTCTATCAATTATTTCTTGAGCAAAGAAATATTTAATAAAGATTGGCAGCTATCACAGTTCATTGAAAGTCCCTTAATTTTCTTTTACTTCATTTTCTTCCATATGCCAGTAAATAATTTATATGTTTCTTGAACACTCAATGGCTTTATACAATGAACTCAAGTTATGAAATAATGCATAGGCTTTTTAATGGATTAGTATGATCAATTTATAAGCCACTTTCCTAAAGGATAGCATATTGGATTTTTCTGAAAAAAGAAAGACAAGCTTTTCTTCTGTAATTTCCATTTTGACTGTTCAATTCATATACAAATCTGAGAAAAAAAGCTCCCAGCTGTTACCTGACATAGAATGGTTGATATTCATGGAATAGTGATCAAAGGCTTATTGTCACTTTAGTTGAAAGACTATGTCTAGTTTTCATCAGTATCCCAGGCATTTGCAATTGCTTCAAGGTGTGTTATAAAATGTTGATTTGATATCCTTAGACAGTAACATTACTGCTGTTCTACAGGTGTAGGAAATCCTATATTTATACAGAATTTTTCATTTTAGAAAACACTTTCACAACATCACTTATTTCCATTCTCATACTACAGAGGTTCAGAAGATGTTAGAATTCATTCAGATCATGACAAATTAAGTAATACAGCCAGTTGTTTTTTTAAAAAAAAATCTTTTAGAAATATCCTTTTGCAGAATCTGATTCCAAATACCCACAATAAAATTTGCTGTGGTTAGTCAACTGCTTTTTTTATCCTCTGAAAATAGAAATTTTTATCAAGAAAATCATTTTAATTGCTGCTACTTCTGGAGGTGCGGGAGCTGAGCTTTATAGAATTTAAGTAAATTTTCTCAAGTTTAATTTATTCGGGCCAGTCATCTTCCCACAATAGCACAGTTTTCAGTGAACTAGAGGAAAGAATTCAATAAGTGTGCTAATGTTTATGAGACCTCTGGATAAAAGAATGGAACAGAGTCTTAAGTTTTCAGGAGACATTAAGTTTCTCTTCATATCACATACACTGAGAAATCTAATAAAATTTGGATAAAACTTTTTAAAAAATATTTTTTAGTTGTAGATGTATACAATATATTTGTTATCTAAATAATTTATTATTATCTAATTAGAATCTAAATAATTTATTCATTTATTTATTTTTATGTGGTACTGAGGATTGAACCCAGGGCCTCACATGTGTGAGTCAAGTGCTCTACCCCTGAGCTACAACCCAGCCCTTGGATAGAACTTTTAGCAATATTAATAGTATGGTGATTAAAAGAACTGTCTGCTTTGAAGATAAAACAATGTAAAAAGAGATAATAACTTAAAATGGGTAATTAAATATGAGGATGAATCTTTTTAACTGTAGGTCAGATTTTCCTTAACAAAAATGAAAAAACACAATATGCGATTTAACAATAATAAATTGAAGTTACAGATTTTCTTTAATGGTCTTCTAAAAGGGTAATTTTAAGCTATCATAAATAGTAAATTAAAGAAATGTTACATTTTGAAATTTCAATATTTAAAATATTGCAGTAGTTAATATTTTCAGAATAATCTATGTTTAAAGGAATTGCAAAATTTTTACCCAAAAGATCTTTTTAATCTATGTATGTTGGAATATTTGACCAGGTGAACTGTTGGTTCCCAAAGAGTAATTACTTTTTAAATTTTTTTTTATTTTTCAGTAATATATTTAGAGGGCATGCTATTTGTGTCTATCACATGTCTAGCATCCGGGCAGCTTTTAATGGACCATATGCACATAAAGAAGGACCTGAATACCATTGGTCACTCTATGAAGGAAAAGTTCCTTACCCAAGGCCTGGTTCTGTAAGTTCAGCTATTTTGATCAGTTTTTCACATGCTTTGCCAGAGTTTACAATTAAGCAATTAAGGAATTGTATATTTAAAGTATACTTGGAGGATAAAGAAACAACTGTTTCATATTCTTATATGCTTGTTATTTGATGAAAAGAACATAATGGATACATTGTAGCAGTATGATAAAGTCTATATAATTATTGATATTTTGGCTAAATAGTTCCACCTAAAGTTTTACTTTTAAGGGTACTGGTGAATACAGAAACATCTAATAAAATGAGAATCATATATTTTCCTCCCAGCCTGTTGAGGAGAATTAGTATCACATGTAATTTCTAATCAAGAAAATGTTGCCCAGGTTTTATATTCTTTTTTTCTTTCTTTTTTTATTTATTTCTTACATACATGACAGTAGTGGAGTGCATTACATTCATAATTATCCATTCACAGCACAATTTTTTGTAACTCAGTATATAGAGTATGTTCACACCAAATTATGCCATTGTACATGAGCTCTCCCAGGTTTTATATTCTTTCTTTAAATATTTTTTTTCGTTGCCAATGGACCTTTATATTATTTATTTATATGTGGTGCTGAGAATCAAACCCAGTACCTTGCACATGCTAGGCCTCCAGTTCTAATATGGGTTAACCTCTAAGTTCTCTAGGCCAAAATTTCTTACTTGTTATTTAGCAGATCAAAAAGAAGTTCTTTTTCTCCACCCTCTTAGGATATTTAACACCTTGCTTCATACCTTTATTGCCTATTTGAAAAAAATAAGTGCCAATAAAAAGTATAGGTAGAGTATGGGACATTGTCCCACTTGCCTCTGAATCATGGATAATAAGATTCCCCTCATTAGCCATTCAGACTTTTGTGCTTTTAATTGCATACATGTCTAAAATTTGGATGATGATAATAATGGTGATGGTTTCACATCATGGATCCTATATGCAACTATGTTGGAAAAATGTTATATCACTCTAGGTGCTGTGTGAGGCATGGGGAACAAACATTTAACTTGTCATGCAAGTCAACATCTAGACTTTCATGAGCAGCTGGTGAAATCTCATCACCACCCTGATTCCATAATCACTTGCAAGCCAAATAGAAACCATTTTTGCAGAGTCAATCCCAAAGTGGATACAAACCTTTCCTCCATTAACAAGTGTAAGTCTTTCCCATTATAATCACTCTCTTTCACTGGCTTAAAATTATTACTTCCAGTAAAACATAAAGTATATTTTATTTCACTCCATTGATTGAAAAGTACACTTTACATGAAGAAAACCCAGTTCTGTGGCTTTGCTGGAAAGACTTCTTTAAACCACTTGGCCTTATAGAGATTGTAGGAAGTGACTAAACTGCTTCCAAGATAATCCAAAATGTTTCTAATTATGTATCATCAAAGTGCAAGCAAGTGAAATTTTTGTGCCAAATTAAGAAATATGGCCTGATTTTTTAAAAACAAACCATTATAAATGCACTCTTTGTAGAATCTGATTACTAAAGTAATGTTTTTATACTCTAAAGTGGAAAATTTTTATCAAGATAATCATTGAATTTGCTGCTGGTTTTGGAAAAATAAATGCATGAAATGAGGGATTCCTTATTAACAAGCATGAATCAACAGAGTTGAAGGTATCCCAAGAAGTAACTTAAAGTGCTGGTGAGCAATTTTAGATTCAGTGATTTAAGAATTGAGACATGTTATAATAAATGTTTGCAGTTTTTTGCTTATTGTGTCTAATCCATACAAGAATAATGAAAATTCATAGACATTATAGTAGCACAACATGGAGAGGGGATTTTTTCAATAATTAATGGTGATGAAATTTGAATAGGTTTCTATGTTACAGCATTAAAATCCTGTAGTCTCTTAGTCAATCAGAACCTTCACCAGTCATACTTATCATAGTCTCAATAATTGAAAAGATATTTTGTGCAGTTGTGATTCTTAGTTTGAGAGAAGATTTAGCACCACAAAGAGACTTTGTTTTTCTGAGAGATTCTTTACCTTCAAATTTGAATTCACAATGTTAAAAGTTAAATCAGGATAATTAATTTTAGCATTTATACTGTTACAGAATTTTGCCAGCCCCAAACTGTCCTGGTATTAAATGGATTTTACTTTTCCAAGATTTTGCTACTTTATTTATATTTTTAGGGCTGCATGTTTAAAATAATTTGGCATTCCATTGCAATTTTTAATTGAGTCTATTTCTGTAATGAAGAATATATGGCTACTAAATACTTTTAAATGCACAGTTGATTAATTGAACAGCTCCCACTTTTTAAATTCTTCTTATAAAGGATCATAAATTTACTGTTTAGATTTAAGGCAGAAATAATTGTCTAATCTGCTTGCATTTCAGTGTGCCAGCAAAGTGAATGGAGGGAGGTATGGGACCACCAAAGATTACCCTGATGATGCCATTCGATTTGCGAGAAGCCATCCACTAATGTACCAGTCTATAAAACCTGCTCATAAGAAACCAATATTGGTAAAAACAGATGGAAAATATAATCTGAAACAAATAGCTGTGGACAGAGTGGAAGCTGAGGATGGCCAATATGATGTCTTATTTATTGGTACAGGTAAAGAGACAAGAGAAAATATCAAGGCATTTCACTTGGCCCCTAAGATAATAACTTTAATAGTGTTTAAGAAAGCACCTATGGACAAGTGTCCAGATGATCCAATTAGCCCATCTGCACACCACTCATCTGAAGTAAGAACACTTGTGAGAGTCTCCATCATGTGACTGCAACAGCAAGATTTATGCCTGTCGTCGAACCATGAGTGATACTTTCATTGTCCAAACTATCATGATTTAGGTAACAAATTGTGTGGTCATCACTCTTGTTCCAGATCTGAGGAATGGTGACATAATCAAAGAGAGAATTTAGGGCTGTTATAACACACAATTCCTGACACAATTTCAATACTTAATACATTCACATACGTGAAATAATTGAAGAAGTGAATAATTGATCTTCATAAACAAGTTGATTCCAATGGATCTTATATAATGGAAAAAGGGTACCGTGGGAAGCATGGTTCTCCTGTGAGCCCCAAAGCCCCTTTCTTGCCTTTAGCTGCTCAGTTTACTGAACTTACTGAGCTTATGATTCTACAAACAATTTATGACAATAACATCACACAAGTCTGTAATCACAAAAATGCTTATCAACCTCCATCAGAAAAATACTTTTGTACTCAGGAGGTCAAATGTTACCTGTGATGCAGATAAACAATTACCCCAAAGCTATAATATACTGGGTTAAGAAGATGAAGTATAATGAATATGCTAAAAATGAAAATTGCAAATAAATTCAAAATTTCAATTAATGCCATACATTTGCTTTAATTTGTGGACGAGAACCTAGATTTCACATTCAGAGTAGTGGAACAAATACTGAGAAATACTTTAAAGAGCTATAGCAATTTTAAAACTTGTTAAAACCATCATTTCTTTCTTTCTTCTTATGCAGCATAATGATTGCTATAGCAGTTGCTCTTTAGAGGAGTAAGCATTCTACACTATGTAACATCCATCACAGACTTATAACTCTGAAGAGATATTGGAATATGCTCAGTACAGTAATCAGGATGTATTACTAATATGCATGCTTGGAAAATAATAAAATATTTAAGCAAGGAAATATAAATCTTATTTCCATAAATTGATCTCTGGTACAAGCTATAATTTATCTACTCATTTTAAGAAGTTAATATTAATATTATGCTTTTCTTGTGTTCAAGATTATCAATGTATCATACTTCTCAAGGAAACCTAAAATTATTTGGCAATGAGTCTACTCATAATGACTTTCAACAGAGATTTAAAAAAGAAAAGAAAAGGTGGAGGTTCCATAAACAAGATGTGTATTTGATAAAAATTAAGCAAACATATTATTTTAAAATGCTCTGGAGATCATAAAATAAAGTAACAGTCCAAGACATATTTTCTTGCAGATTGACCAAAGATATTTTGAGAGAATTACAGAAGTATCAGATATATATTTGTGCTATCAAACATACCATGTTTAACTCAAAAATAGCATCATACTAAAACACAAGTTTTCAGAAGAAAAGAACATGGTTGATGAATATGTGATGAATAGACTGGAAAATATCACAACTTGTATTTATTTCTCCCAGTACTTATCAGATGTAGGCTTTAATGCAACACATGTATAGTCATTATCACAAAATCAGTAGTTGCAAATTAATAATCTGACTTACATCTTTTCTTTTTGCCTGATATAGTAATTGAGAACAATTTAATATGTGCTTACTTTTCAAGATAATATTTTTTTAGTTAGTTGAAAATCAGGTAATTTCCATTGTTTAATTACCATTCGGCTTTATTAATCCAGTTACAAGATTTGATAATTTTTCAACAAATAGCTCAAATATGATAAAACCCTTCAATCAACATTTCCAAAGTTTTTTCCTCCTGAATTGTTACTTCTAACACCATATGAAATTATTTGTGCAGCTAAATTAGTTGTATTTTAAAGTTTTCATTGGAAGAAACAAGATTAGAATATCATGAATAATAAAAATAAAATGGAATTTTGAAATATAAATATAGAATTATAAAGTGTTATAAAATTGTGAAAGCTAAATGGTTGGTATGGGAGGACTCATAATACTTTCTAAAATAGTGTAAACGTAATTTTTTTTTTTAAATTTAAAAGTGTATTTAGAGCTGGGGGTATAGCTGAGTGGTAGAGCACTTGCCTAGCATGCAAATGGCCCTGGGTTTCATTCTCAGCCCCACAAAAGCAAACAAATAAAAAGTGTATATGTTATTTCTGTATCATGTTGCTTAGAATGTTCCCTAAATTTAAAACAATAGTTTCTTAACATGAAAGTAGCCAAGGTAAAATATTTTCTTGCATCACACATTGTAGAACAAGCTAGAATAATATGGCATATTGTATATTTATTAATTCCAAAAGACATTTTGGTTTCTGAACTTATAATTGAATTTTTTGGATTAAACCACTTGAATGAGTGTGTGTGTGTGTGTGTGTGTGTGTTTTCAAAATAATATTTTTATTCTTTTTGGTTAGTGGAAATTTTGGATTAATAGTTTTATATATATATATATATATATATATATATATATATATATACACACACACATATACATATAGACAGATATGTAAACACATGCATATATATATATATATACAGAGAGAGAGAGTTTGTTTTAATTCTTTTGGCCAGGCGTATAAAATTCTTAATTTTACTAATTTACCATATGGGCATATAGGTAGTCAAATGGTTTTTAACTTGCAGTGATTAAATGTTTAATGCATCTATGATTTCACATCTTATTTGAATTTATAGTTTCATGTGGTTTTAACTGTATGAAAATCAATTGTGGCATACCTTCTAGTTTATCTGTTTTCTTTTCTTTTTTCTTTTTTTGCTTTCTTACAGATACTGGAATTGTCCTGAAAATCATCACAATTTACAACCAAGAAACAGAATCCATGGAAGAAGTAATTCTAGAAGAACTTCAGATATTCAAGGTATTTTTAATAAATAATATACCCAAGATTATGTACTGCAGAAAATTACAATTTAGAATTAAGTTGAAAAGATGTTATATCCATTTTTTCCCTAATAAGTGTGCTGTGAATTCATAACATTGAGGAATGATTTGAATTTCTAATGCCTCTGGTATTTCATTGTCATAGACATTTCAAAAGAAGAGACCTGTCTTCATGTAGCATAAAAATAATTTTAATATAAAAACTGCTACTATAAAAAAGTAACATACTACATAGGAATTTCAGAGTGACAGTTGCAAAGTCTCATCTTGTACAAATGAACTATCAATAGTTACAAAAAGTAATATGTTTTCATATTGTGGACATTGTGGCTCGACAAGCACACTGCTTTTAATTATAGTGTATTAACTACACATATAATTTACTAAAAATAGAAAATAATAATCTGAAGATTATATAGGACTAAAAAATTATATATATATGTGTGTGTGTGTGTGTGTGTGTGTGTGTATAATATATATTATATAAATACACTTTGAAAGGTCTCATTTTTCTCAGCAGTTATGGTCTTTAAGATCACCATTGCTTCTGAGGGAAATACAGAGTTAGGTTCCTGCAAATTTCTGATTATAATATTTTCAAGTGATCAATAGATAAACTTGTTTTATGTGTGTTCCTATTAAAACACATCTTTCCGTTTATATACTTAGTTGATTAATTAATAACTGAGTTTACAGTCAACAGCACTATAATTCACTGAATGAAGGTTATCATATGAAAACATTTTCTATGTTAAGATGCAATGTAGCCTTTTTGAGTTTAGAAACTATAAAAGGCACTTCAGCTCTAGGCTTGGAGGTCATTTTATATAGCAAAGTACTAACAAAAAACAGCATGTAAAGAAATGTCACTAAATAGTGTGAAGGACACTTGTTTACATCCTGGGTGCTGAAACTTGATTTCAGCTGATAAGTGCACCATCTGCAAAATGTGCATCTGCATGTCCTCAAATGAGAGCCACAGCAAGTTGTTGATATTGGGATTACAATTAATTTAATAGTAAGTGGATTTGCACACAGAGAATATACAAATGATAAGACTCATCCATATATGTAGATGATAGATATATGTGAAAACACTTTATTAATAGCAGTACATTTTACCTTGGCTGTCTGGAGACCAGATTTCCCCAGTGCCCCACACTAAGTTAATCAGAGGAACTTTGCTTTTGTTTATTTTGTATTTTAAGCCTCTGTGTAGGACTGATTTCATGATAGGTCTATAGCTCTCATATGAAGAGCATGCACTGCCATGTCTTTTCATATAAACTCTACATCATTTTCTGAATGAATAAATGAATGATACACTCATGTATAAAGCATTTTGTGGCTTAAAATATATTTTTTAAAGCCACTGATATAAAGTATCAAATATTTCAAAAAATAATTCTGAAAAGGGTAACTATTCTGTCTGCCTATTATTTCTCCACTTAGAGAACTGATTGAAATTTGTCATGTTCCTTAAAGATGCTCTGAATCAAGATAGCTAATACCACATGCTGACTCTTAAAGCTATGCTACATGTCATCCCTCCTTTGGTGCAATTCTAAGAAAATGAGGTTATTCATCTTGTTCTAAGAATCCAGGATTCATACTGATTCACCATGATCACTCCAACAGAAAGTGTTTTGTTTAGGCTTGGGTTAAAATAATTAAAGATCGTATGGTTTACTAGTAATAACAAGTACTCTAGAATATAACTATTTTACTTTTAATGGTTCAAGAACACTCTGACTTCGTTATTTTAATTAAGGATACTAGAATTAGAAAGCACGAATAGTATTCAACTGCACATGCAAAAAGTACATTCCAGAGACAGTGAACTGATTAGATTATTCACTGTTTTTTTTTTTCTCATCTGTATATCTATTCCTATCCATGAAAAAATTAAAAACTTGTATTTTAGTTTAGTTGAATTTACATCTAATATAAAATGAAAGCTGTAGTTTGCGAGGAATAGAACCACTCATATGCCTTATTTGATTTCAGGTGATTTACAACCATGTTAAGGTAGATATTCTGTGATTTCCTTTCTTAAAAAAGATTTTTTTTTTCAGGATCCAGTTCCAATTATTTCTATGGAGATTTCTTCCAAGAGAGTAAGTTGTATATGTGCATATGTGTGTGTGTATGAGTTCTGTAAATTAGTTGAGGCCAAAGGATGTAAGAACATTAGTACTTTTCATCTATATGAATGAGCTGCAGTTTTCTCCCTTAATAATTTTCTTTTGTGTGGTAAGAACACGTAACATGAGATTGATTCTCTTAGTGACTCTTAAAAATACACTATTGTTGACCATAAGCTCAGTGATATACAACAAATCTCTTGAGCTTACACATCTTGCTTGACTGAAACTTCATGCTCATTTATGATAAAACATTATTCCCTTGTTATTTTTCACTATTTTTTATGCAGAAATAATGGTAATAATAACACACAACTATGTAGTGAAATTCTTCTTTCCTTCTCTTCATTGGAATCAATTTTTGATGTGAACTTCTTTAGAAACTGTTGTTGCATATATTGCCTCAAATTTATTTATCAATAATTCTTCATGTTTAGCAAATAGTAGTCCTTTTCTTTTAGTGTATTTTACAACCATTTTTATCATTACAAACACACACATGCACACACACACAGACAAATCACTCTTCTAAATGTTTATGTCAATATTTGAAAGACTATTTATACAATCTCTTATTGGATGCTCTTATAGATCTTTAAAAGGAGACCTAGAGTGTTAGATAATGCAAGAGTCTTTCTGCTTAGATAACCAATAAAAGAACAGACAGTTTTTTGAGTTCTTGTCAAGCTGAGTCTAGCAATTTTATTACTCCTGCATTTAATTCTGTAAAAGTATTTCAAATTATGGAAAAATGAAAGTGGTGATTTTCCATTATCTATCCTGAGCAATTGCTGGGCTTTTACTGAAGTGTCTGTGTTTAAATTTGGAAATTTGGTTATAATAGTTCAGTTTAAGTGTTGTTCATTTCCGCTAGTGGTTTCTCTCTGCTTTCCATAGCAACAGCTGTATATTGGATCTTCTTCTGCTGTGGCTCAAGTCAGGTTCCATCATTGTGACATGTACGGAAGTGCTTGTGCTGACTGCTGTCTAGCTCGAGACCCTTACTGTGCCTGGGATGGCATATCCTGTTCCCGGTATTACCCAACAGGCACACATGCAAAAAGGTGAGACATGTTTCTCAATGGAGTGATTCTTTTGTTCAGAAAAATGCTAAAGCTTATTTGGTCTTTTTTGTACCCATTCCATGAAATAACCATGATATTTTATTTAAATAAATCATAGATATATTTTGATCATAATATAATACTTGAAATTTTCCTGAAAATTACTTTCATGTATTATTGTGTATATGTATTGGAGCTGAATAGGCTTTTGGACTTTTATTTTTCCACCTGGGTTTGAATCAACTCTTCCCTTTTCTAAAATTTTTTCTGGAAGACATGAAAGAAGTTTAGACAAATGTAAAATGTGGAAATGGCAGGCCAGCACTCTTGAAGGATTCAAAGACTTAAAAAGAAAATAAATAAATAAGTCCTGAAATACATCCTGCAAGTCTTCTCTACCAGCTGGTCTTCATTTATTTCATTTTGAAAGTGAATATTTTAACTCCTAGGCAAATGCATGACCTGTATAATTAATGAAATGTGTGATTTAATTCAACACAAATGAAAGGTACTTAAAGACCTCCAAACTCCAAGGTTTGCAATTCATGAGGTCATTGGCATTTATTAGGGAAGGTAAATCCAGGATTCTTTTAACAGGAGAACTCTAGGTTCAGAAAGTACTTTGATAATAAAGTGTTTTTTTTTTTTTTTTCACTCAAGCCATATGAAATAGTGTTCACTTTTGGAAAATAAAGAAAAATATTTTTATTTCTTATAGAATAAACAATGTTTTTTTTTTTTTTTCTCACGACAAAGTGACCAAACACAAAGTAAAACAAAACATAGGACTATATAATATTTCCCCACTGAAAAGTAGTTTGTATTAATTTCATTTGTTCTTACTACTTAACTTTGGATTACTTTAAAAAAAAAAAAAAAACTTTTTCAGATTTAATTTAACCCAGTTTAGTGTAATTATTTTTTATAGGTTTACACATATAGTACAATCTCATTTAAAAACTCCATTAACTAAAAAATTTGTTAATTTGACCTGAGCCAAATTAATAGTCCAATAAGTATTAAAATACATGATAAGCCAATAGTGAAATGAGGTTTTCAAAGGACATTTATGAACTAAATAATTTGCCAATAATATTAAAAACTTGAGCAAATTAAATCCCACTGACTCAGGAGACTGAGGTAGGAGGATCACAAGTTTAAGGCCAGCCTTAGCAATTTAGCAAGTCCGTGTCTCAAAATTTAAAATAATTGAAAAAGAAAGAAAGAAAAAACTGGGGATATGGCTCAGTGGTAAAACACCACTGGGTTTAATACCTGGTACAAAAAAAAAAAAGATTAAGCAAATTAATTGATTTTATAAAATGCATGTTGATATTTGAAAACAATTCTTGAAGAAATATACCCATATGAAAATGTTTTTTATTGATTTATTATGGTACCATGTACAAGGGCTACAAAGAAACATTCACTGGCCCTTATCTACTATAAATCAGAATCTAAGTTCGAGGTTTGAACTGAAAATAACCATGTAGTAGCTCACAACTGAACATGTCAGCTTCCAGACCTAGTGCAGCAATAAAATATTTTATTCAGTTCTCAAAATAACCCAGTCTTTAAGGTCAGGCTTGGAGGTAGAGATATAAGGAACAATTGTCTGTGCCTTTGCATAGATGCTCAGGGAAAGCCATGCAATTCCACGATTCAGGAATGAAAAAGTAGGACTCCAGGGTGAAAAAGTAATTTGTAAAAAGTATTTAATACTAGTGAATATTTTTATCTTTATTTAAATTTATTTTAACTGATACATAAAAACATAAGTTGTACATATTTATGGGTTATCAAATAATGTTTGAACACATATATATTATATATGATTAAATCAGAGAGAACACATCTATCGCCTCAGTTGCCATTCTTCATGGTGGAAAGATTAAAAATTGTTTTCTTTTTTTCAAAACACATGGTCCATTATTGTTCCTGCAGTCCCCCTAGGAAAAGCAATTTTACCAAGTTACTAGAACTAATTACTTTATTGTTTAGCAACAATAAAAAATGTTTATAAGCCTTGCACCAAATGCTTTTAATAACAAGGTTTTGTATGAGTGATGGTGAATTTTAACTGAGCTGTTTAAATAGATGAATAATTTTTGGTATATGGTGCATCTTAAGATTGTACAGCCACAAGGATGGTAATATTTTAAAAAGGATAAAGGAACTTGGAAAAAGTGAAAGGAATAGGCAAATAGTAGAAAAGTAATGGATTGAAATCAGCAGCCATGCTCATAAATGAGTTAGTTCAGTTCAGACACGTAATGGAGATCTTTCAGTGGTTAGGGTTCTTTTGAACCATCACCCACCCCTGAAGGAGAATTTTTTTTGATAAATTCCAGCACATGATGGGAAAATAGTTTGCTTTTATAGCAGATCATTTTTGCTTCAGACCTGAATAGAGCCGAAATTGAAAACCAGTCATTAAAATAAATAGTTTTTTGCTCACAAAGTGAAAATGAGTCAACAGGGGAAAAACATTAATTCACAATCCAAACCACTTGTTTAAAATGGTCTTCCAAAATCCACCATAATTTATAAAGCTCTGTCTCTTTACCGCCTTTGCTTTTACATCTTGTCTGTTTCCAGTGTTCTCTTTAAAAGTTTTTGTAAGGCTAGAGATATAAGAAAAATATGCAACATTGGGAATGAAAAGCAACTTTGCTCATTCTTGAACTCCTGATACAAATACATGCATTTTTTAAAATGTTGAAATAAAGAACAATTATATTGGGATTATATAAAATGAAATTAAACCTTGTTGGAGGATATGTCTTTTCTTAAAAAACATAAATGTTTGCTATGATTTTAAACAATTATTGCATACTTAATACTCAAATTGCTTGAGAATTATGATTGCTGGTCTCTTTATTCTCAATCACTAGAATAATAATATTGATTTAACACCATCTATAAAAAATGAAAACTATTTCCCATTTCATTTTTTTACCCTGCTCTATTATTTATTATTGTTCAGTGAGATTTAGATTCCAAATATTGAAGTAATACTCAATGAATAAGGAATTAGCAACAGTAGTTTAATTTTTATCTAGATCTGCTGTCAGTTGTATAATAACTGTACTAGTAGAAATAATAGCATAAAACTTTCTACTTCAGTTTTTATTTTTTTTCAAAGTTATTTTGTTCAATCTAGCTCAATAGAATGTTCAACATGGCACTTTTTGGTCTTTGTAAAATTTCAGGCCTTTAGGTAAGGTTTTCTAATCACCAGTCTCTTTATTTAAAACAAAACAACATATGCTCTTGTTGTAGTTCCTAATCCTGAAATTTGATTGGAAATGTTTATCCACCCTAGCTTTTGATATGTGTTAAGCTGTTAAAAAGATCAGAACCCTTATGTGAGAAAGCACTTCATCTCTTGAAATAGCATCCATTATAATTAATTCACCAACCAAAACACCTATTTGAGCAGTGTTACAAAATACACTGTAATCTATAAACCTATGACTTTTTCTCTCCCTTGCTCTTATAATGTTCCAGAGCAAAATAAAATTGAGATGGTAATGGATTTTAGGTGTCCTTTAGCTAACTCCATTTTAAAAGCCAGAACACAAAGGGTGGGGAAAGGGAAGAGACACCTACAGGTGGTACATGTGTTGGTGGGGGCACTGGGATGTGACTTTGGTTCACTCTCCTGCATCTTATCACTGCATGTTGTTGAGACATCTCATTGTGACTTTGCAAGCTTTACCATTACCCTCTGGGAAAGCTCCTGCTTTGCCTTCTGTTTTTTTTTTTTTTTTTTTTCCTCAATCCTGAAAAAGCTCCATGATGTGAAGCAAGTAGTATTTTCCACGTTTACTTAATACTTCTATTTTAATCTCTAATTTGAATTTTTCAAATATACCATGGCGCTTGATTTCAGAATTACACTACTCACAATGATAATTTCCATGGTTTAATGACTTAGAAAGATGCTTAAAAATTTAAACCTTATATAAAGCCTGGAAATATTTTCCATGAATTTAGAATGTTGTGCTCATTTTAGTTATATAACAATATAACTAATATAATAAATGAACAATTTATACAATAAGAAAATATATTAGAAGTGATCCTAGTTCTAATAGGTATATTGAAGGAAAAAAACCCTAATTGTTTTTAATCATGCTAGATGCACAGTATACAGTTAGACATGTATAACACACAAGCCTATTGAATAGAGTCATGTACTTTCTATTGTATATGAATAAATGAGTAAATTAAGTATATTATCAATTTATCTCATTTTCCTAGAAACTATTTGTGCCAATTTATCATTATGGCACTAAAGAATAAAATACTTCAATTCAAATGTCAATTTTCACATAAACTTTATTAAATGTAAGAGTTTTATGATAGTTTTTACTCAGATATTCTAACTCAAATCCTATTGACCTATCTACACATATCCCTTGCCACTCAAGACACCCCTTTCAACAAAAGGCTTCTTGTTGAATTAAAATTTTAACAAAATTTAAAGGGAAATTTGTTAAATTATCATTTAGGGAACCAGAATTCAAGCTATGTAAACGTTTAAAAAAATAGAGTTAGATGAGTGTCAACTATTGAAAAATATTTAGTGGAGAAATTAGAAAGATGAAACTTGGATGTTATGCTTGTTTCATATGACTGATCAGGTTTTCAATAGCAGAGTACTCCTTGAATCTTTAATGTGGCTGAGTATATTTTAAAATCTGGAAAATTGAAACCTGAACATCATCTAAAATACATTTTCTTTCTTTCAGACGGTTCCGCAGACAAGATGTGCGGCATGGAAATGCAGCTCAGCAATGCTTTGGACAGCAGTTTGTTGGTAATCCATAAAAAAATCAATTGTTATGAGTAACTTGGAGTGTTTATTGATGATAACTGCACATTTCTTAAAATGAGTCTCTTTCTTTGTGATTTGTATGTACTAGAAAAATGTTGTTGAAAGCTTTTGTTTTCGTCCATGAAGTTATGATTTTGTGGGCTTGATATGATTTTTCTCATAATTAAAAAATAAATTTCATCTGAATGAATACTTGATAGTAGACCTCAAAGCCGGGGTAATCCTAGAACAAGAATGTAGTCTAATTTATGTGGCTGCTGGCACAATGATTTGCAGAATTCATCTCTTCATTTCATAACTTATTTTATCAAATGTGATACAACTTGAATCAATTTACCTACGAAGATTTGGAACAAAGAGAAAAACTTTTCCTGGAGTCGAATAATCCTAGAACTGGTATTGGTGGTCCATGAAGTATGGAGGTCTAGTGGGTTAAGGATGAGAGGAAATTTCAGCTTGCAAGGAAGTTAAACAAGACAGAAAAAACACTCTCCTGCTCTTCATATCATGATGGATGATGAAAAGGCTGCATTTCCTATTGCTGGATTCACCAGGACGTAGCAAGAGGAAAAGGCACTGTGATTGGGAGCTCAGCAGTGGCTCCATCCACACTCAGAGATGCAGTCCAGCACAACCTAGAACCAGGTTGACTTAAGAGTCAGTGCAGCTTTCTTAAGACAGGGAGCACAGAAGGGAATTAGAATAATGGACATGCTGCTAAAGGAACCATGCGGTGGTCCCTAAATAAGGAGTCATCTGGGAGCTATGTCCAAGTGTGCTTTTTTCCATCAATGATTTCTTGGCCATGACACATCATAGGCTCAGTTCCTGGAATACAGGTTTGAGGATACAGTGTTGGCAGCATAAAGAAGAGGAGACCTCTCTGCAAGGACATAAAATGATACCCTCCCCTTGGATCCTGCTTCAAATAGTGGAACTCACAGAGATGAGACCATCTAGCTGGATTTTTATGATAGTCTCTTTATGATTTTATAAATAAAGAAAAAGATCCATGTGTGTGGCGGGGGGGGGGGGGGAGACTCAAGTCCTAGGAACACTGGCAAGAGAAGAAGACATGGAAAATTTAAGGATCAGTTTTGAAGGTGAGAGGATTCAGGTATAGGGGAAAATGCTGGAATCTAGCTATTGAATTGAATTCATCTTGGTTAAAATAAACAAACAAAAAAATTTATTTCCTTTTATTCTCCACTGCAAGTAAGTACACTTTCCTGCATGCAGGTTTGAATTCAAATCTTGAGAGAACTGTTCTGGTCCAAGACATAGAATATAATCAAGAAGCTCTGGTTTGTAAAGGCTTTAGTTCAGTTCTGTACCTTTTCTTACAAAGACGCCCAACACCTGGGTGCGAGCCCTTGTCAGGATATCCCTTACACTTGTGATTATGTAGTGCCAGATCACTCAAGATTTCTGAATTCTGCTTTTGTTTGTAGCCATGAATTTGGTTTTATGCCTTGCTAGAACATATGGTGTTCACATTCTTTTCCCTGCCATATCAATGAATGCTGCTGTTGATTTCCTATGAGTTTAACATTGATGGACCTTTTTATTGTCTTTATTCTCCCATCATTTTGAAACCAAATCCCAGTTGCCTCCTTTTGCTTGCTTGCCTTTTTAATGCCTAGATTTTGGCATGCCACTGTCTAAAAAAATTTATTTCTCTACATAAATCCAGTAGGTAATTAGTTACTCATGTTGTTTCAAGGATTTGATTAAATAATATTTTTTTAAAAAATTATTTACCAGTAACATCAAGTCTTAAGTTTGGTATTAACATTCCTGTTGTAGGAGATGCTTTGGATAAAACTGAAGAGCGACTGGCTTATGGCATAGAGAACAACAGTACTTTGCTGGAGTGTACCCCACGATCTTTACAAGCAAAAGTCATCTGGTTTGTACAGAAAGGACGTGAAACAAGAAAAGAGGAGGTAATTCATAGCTACACTTGGTGTCAAAATATGATTAAAAAGTTTAAAACAATAACAGCATCAACATTAAACAGGTTGAATAATAAAGCTGTAAATCATATGTATGAGACATTAATAGAAGCGTTCTTGTCTACTAGCAAGAAAGGCAAAGCATCAGCTCTTTCATCAATTTAAGTAGTTTTTAGTAATGGAGGAAGTTTTCCAACATAATCTATATGATGGGAAAAGAAAGACTCAGGCGCTTTAGAGATGGAGGGACAGGAGGCATTAAGGCAGATGTATGGATCAATGTGCTGGCAGTTACTGGATAAAATAATGTGTGGAAGGAGCTGGCTATGTGGAAGGAGAGACCCAGGGCACAAGGCAGTCAGGGAAGGTGATTTGGGCTATAAACTCAGTTTTTTGTGTTTTTTTTGGTGGGGGTGAAGTACTAGGGATTCAAGTCAGGGGCACCTGACCACTGAGCCACATCCCCAGCCCTATTTTGTATTTTATTTAGAGACAGGGCCTCACTGAGTTGCTCAGTGCTTTGTTATTGCTGAGGCTGGCTTTGAACTCACAATCTTCCTGTCTCAACCCCCAGAGCTGCTGGGATTACAGGTGTGTACCTCTGCACCTAGCTGAGCTCAGTTTTCAAAAAAGTAGAATTACAAAATAGCAAGTAGAAGAACATTTATCTATATGAGGGAAATATATCGTGATGAATATTGGAGAAAAGGCTCCTTCTAAAGAGAAAGTTTGCAAGCTGAATAAGGGAAAGGGCTTCTAGAGACATGTCATAGGACCCAGGGAAGATCAAAAAGTGTGCATCTGATAGACAGTGAAGCAGTGGAAATCTCTACTTCATTTTAGCATGGATGATTAAACACTTATCATTAGAAGCCAAAATTACTAATTTAAAAAAAATCACTTTTTATAACCTTTGGCTAAACTAAAAATACAAAATGATTTTGGTCTACACTCATAGTAGTACATTTTTGGAGATGACTAAATTTGTAAATCCTACATCCCTGGGATAGTCATTAGAGAGAAAGATAGCTCGCCATAACAAAGCCTATTGGAGACATTATAGAAATTCAACCAGGAAAGAAAAATTCTCCTACATTTTCATGACATCATAAAAATAAATATATATCCAAAATGCTATACCATATTGTGCTAAATTAAATTGTTCATTTAGTGTTAAAGTATTTTCCATTTCACAAATCTGAGGTGAAATGGTTTTTAAAATTCCAGTATAACTCACTTGGCAGGAGAGGATCTGGGAATATTCCATAGTTTCTCCTGTTGAATGGATTCAGAAGACAGAGAAGTAATTCTTTCATCAGTGGGTTACTTCATTCAGTATGTTCTGTTTCTAATTTTGGGCTCACCATAATCTGCCTCATTTGGAAATCTTTACCAAATCATTTTGACATGCTGCATCCATCAATGTTGAATTATCAGCTTCTTTTTCATATTGTTGATATAATCTGTTCTCCTTTTCCATAATTCCTAGTCACTGTTTAAACTGAATTCAAGTTTCCCTGACTGATAAATATATACAGGTATTTGAAATTTCATATCAACTCTCTGCATAAAAGTTATATAATAATTACATAATTCAGGGTTTCTATAGACATAGTAATATATGTATTGAATTATTCACAAACTAAAACAATACAAATCACAAATCCCTGACTTCATCAAAGGCTGAATATGTCATATCTTCAAAGCAAAATGATTTTTCAAGGGATTCCTGAGTTTTATTTAAAAACCATTTTGCATTTATTTTCATTTCGATGCCTCGTTTACTATGAGACATATATAAGGTAGTCACATTTTAAAATCTAGATCTTTATAAAGGCTAAGCTCACCTAGCCCAATTCTTACATCCTATGGGAAGTTTGTTTGAGAGTACCCCTGAAAATGTTCATCAAGGCAGAAAAGAATGATGCTACAAACCATAAATCATTAATTGTCAGACCATAGAGTATATGCATCTTCCCCTTATTGGGTTAGAATGTTTGATTGTAGGGTTCCTGCCCGTTTCAAGCTTCTACTCTGTGCCTATTGGACTTGGCCCTCTGAAATTATCCAGAAACAACATATTCTTGTGGACAAAATTTTTGCTTAATCTCTGGAAACTCTATATAACCAAATTGTTGGAAAGCATCTAAAAACTTAGTTATCTAGTTTATAAACTCTAAAATGAAGCAATTCTCTCAAATATGCACTTATAGCTTCCTGCTTCTCTATTTAGATTGTTCAAAATATTGAACACAATCTCTATGTATTTATTATTTGCATGAATACTTTTGAAAGTCTGATTTTGTATGTATTTTGATTTTTTACGTACTATGTATAGCTATATTTCTATGTATCTTCCCTTGACTGGATGACCTGGTTAATTATGATGTTATAGTTGCTATGAATATATTAAATAAATATAAATATATTAGGGGCTATAAATATCCTGAGGGAAAAGATACTTAATAGTTTTAATAGAAGAGGCTATTCTTTAATATGTCCCTGTTGCAACAGAAACTGTGGTAGGTGCCTTGCCCTGTCCCTCTCTGTCACAACTGAATAGTAGATATAATTATCCCCATCTTACCCATGCAGAACTAAAATTCAAAATCATAACTTATACACAAAGTCAGTAATACCCCTGAGGTTTGAACTCAAATACTCCTGACTCCAAGGCTATGCTAATTTACATTCATTCATTTTCTAAGTATCAAGAACTGTGCCATGTGCTTTTTACAGAATATACCATTTCATTCTAATTATTTTTGGTTTACAACTGAGATGCACAATGTTTAATAATTTTTCTGGTTACTCACAGCTTGTAAAAAACAAATTCAGATCCAGGCCTCTATGTTTATTCTATTAAACCACAAAACCTTCCAAGATCAGCTTTCCAAATGCAGTTTCAGATGCTTTGGGGCAGGGAACAAATGGAAAACTGTTCATAATAAAGGTCTGGAATCTGACTTTGAAAAATGCTTCTGGTACCAGCTTGGTCATCATATCTGTGTTTCTTCACTGGAGTTTAGTGAAACCTGCTGCTGTGACATTGGTGACAAGGGCACTATTTCTCATGTCTAAATGTCTGAGAACCTGTGCATAATTGAGCAGCTCCCACTTTAAGCTATGATACCTTGAAAGAGTGTTATATGTCAGTGGATCTCTATTCTTAAAGTGTCTTTCAAGCTTCTACTCTGTGCCTATTGGTAGAAGGAGGCATCTGTGTCACAATAAATGTGCTGTATTATTTGAGCTTGTGTAGATATAAAACTCAGAGTATTTTAGCTTACTTTCTTGGATTTTTAACTACAAGAACGTTTAGTTCATCAATAAAAATGCATTAATCAAATGCTTTTCTATCCTGCTTTCATAGAAGTTATATTCTGGAGGGCAATACTACTATTAAAAATAACAATATTTCATGTACCAGGTAGTGGTAAAGGGAAAAATATAAAAGAGATTACTTGCAGAGAGACATCACAATTTTAAAGAGCTAGTTATAGAAGATCTCACTAAGAAGGTCACCAAGAAAGTGAAAGTTGAAAAGAAAGAATAGGCCACATGACAAGATGGGACAACTTTCTGGACATTGGAAGCAGTAGATGCCAAAAGCTTCTGAGGTAGGAGTGCGCTGGTATAGTTATAGAACAACAGTGGAGGGATGGAGTAACTGAAGGAGAGTGAGCAATAGGGAGGTGAATAGACCCTGAGTCACAGAGGTGATATAGAGCTCACGCAGGTCTTGTAGGCCACTGTAAGGGGATGTTGGTACTTCTTCTAAATTAAATAGAAAGCCATTAGGTAGATTTGAGCATAGCTGTGGCATGATTTGGCTTTACAAAGATCACTTTGAACTCTGGCATGGTGGCACTTGCCTATATCCCCAGGAACTTAGAAAGCTGAGAAGGATAATTACAAATTTGGGGGGCCAGCCTCGGCAGCTTTGCAAGACCAGATTCAACAACTTAGTGAGACCCTGTCTCAAAATAAAAAAGGAAAATAATTGGGTATGTAGCTCAGTGGGAGAGCACCTCTAGGTTCAATCCTCAGTACCAAAAAGAAAATCGGTTTGATTATTTTTTATTTTTTTGCTTTAAGTACATTCTATGTGAGAGTAGCGATGAAGGTAGAAGCAAGCAGTCATTGAAGGACATAATATTAAAATATGAAACTACATGTTCAAAGACACAACATTGGCTCTTATGTGTCACAGACCTTCAATACTCAGTGATGTACAAATGATTACCTCTCACATTAAGTAGTTGAATGCTTTGTCATATGTGCTTTCCAATGTTACTGAGGATTGTGAAGGCATATCACATCTCAGATGGAATACTTTTTCAACCTTTTGCTCTCTTCCTTCTCTTTAGATGTCTGTAATTGGTGTCTTGAACTCAAAAATATTCACTCAAAACTAACTTTAGTAGATGATAGATGATTAATAATTCATAATGTAGCTCTTGTGAAACCCCAAGACAGAAATGTGAACAAGTAATTACATTGTGTTCATTACAATTCTGTTGATTCCAAAGGAAAAGAAAACCATCTTAACCAGTAAGTGTGTTTGAAGGTGACATTTACACCAAGTCTTAAATGATAAGCAAAAGGTACTTAGCAGAGTAAACGGTACATATCCTGGAGATGATAAGCCAATGTTCATCCCTTAGATGAACCTTTAAATTACTCTAGAAACTGGCCTATAGATTTGGGAGACAAGCAAGATGTCAAGAAGGCCATTTGTGAAGATATATCAAAGAAAGATGTTTGGTAACATGAACTAAAGAGTGATACTAGCTGTGTGTGGTGGCACAAGCCTGTAATCGCAGTGATTTGGGAGGCTGAGGTAGGGGGATTACAAATTTGAGGCCAGCTTTAATAGTTTAAAAAAATCCTACCTCAAAAAATAATTATAAAAGGGTTGGGATGTAACTCAGTATTAAAGAACTGAGTTCATTTTCCTGTACCAAAAAAAGAAGAAGAGGAGGCAGAAGAGGAAAGATAACGTGATGGAAGGGAAAAGACAGATTTGAATTTTTATGAGACAACATTGAATGAACTTGATATTTGAAGTAAAGGAGAAGCAATAAAAAAATTAATCCCATGTTTCTTGTTTGGGTGGATGTGTGCCTGATGGTACGGTAACATGATTCAAATAATCTGGGGTT